TGAGCCAGCCCTAACTATAAGCTTTATCAAAGAGGAAAGTCTTAAGCCTACTCTTAAATGTGGAGATGGTGTCTGCCTCCTGAACCCAAACTGGAACCTGGTTCCACAGGATAGGAGCTTGATAGCTGAACGCTCTGGCTCTGGGGCGGCTGTGGCTCAGGAGGTAGAGCGGGTTGGTCGTTAATTGGAAGGTTGGCGGTTCAATCCCTGGCTCCCCCTAGTTGCGTGTGGAAGTGTCCTTGGGCAAGAAACTGAACCCCTGGCGACTATTCCGCCAGTGTATGAATGAGTGTGAATGTTAGTTTCCGTTTGAGCAGTGTGTGACTGGTGAATGCAGATGTAGTGTAAAAAGCGCTTTGAGTGGTCGAAAAGACTAGAAAGGCGCTATACAAGTACGGAGCATTTACATCCTAGTCTACTTTTGGAGACTCTAGGAACCACAAGTAACTGCATTCAGGGAGCGCAGTGCTCTTGTGGGATAGTAAGGTACTATGAGCTCTTTAAGATAAGATGGTGCCTGACCATTGAGAGCTTTGTAGGTAAAATGAATGATTTTAAATTCTATTCTGGATTTTACTGGAAGCCAATGCAAAGAAGCTAAGACAGGAGAAATATGATCTCTTTTCCTGGTTCCTGTCAGAACACGTGCTGCAGCATTCTGGATCAGCTGAAGAGTCTTAACGGACTTTTTCGAGCAGCCGGATAATAAGGAATTGCAGTAATCCAGCCTAGAAGTAACAAATGCATGGACTAGTTTTTCTGCATCATTTTTAGACAGGATGTTCCTGATTTTCGCAATATTACGTAGGAATGAAAAAAGGCGGTCCTTGAAATTTGCTTAATGTGAGACTTAAACGACATGTCCTGATCAAAGATAACTCCAAGATTCCTCACAGTGGTGCTGGAGGCCAGGGCGATGCCATCAAGGGAAACTATATCTTTAGATAATGCGTCACGGAGGTGCTTAGGCCCCAGAACAATAACTTCAGTTTTATCTGAGTTTAACATTAGAAAATTACAGGTCATCCAGGTTTTAACATCCTGAAGGCACATTTGAAGTTTAGCTAACTGATGAGTTTCATCTGGCTTGATCGATAGATATAACGGAGTATCATCTGCATAACAATGAAAGTTTATGGAATGTTTCCTGATAATATTGCCTAAAGGAAGCATATATAAAGTGAAGAGGATTGGTCCGAGGACAGATCCTTGAGGAACTCCATGACTAACTTTGGCATGCATGGAGGACTCATCGTTAACATGTACAAACTGAAATCGATCTGATAAATAGGACTTAAACCAGCTTAGAGCGGTTCCTTTAATGCCAATGAAATGTTCCAGTCTCTGCAATAGGATCTGATGGTCAATGGTATCAAATGCAGCACTAAGATTTAATAAAACCAGTACAGAGACAAGTCCTTTGTCTGATGCAATAAGGAGGTCGTTAGTAATTTTCACCAGTGCTGTCTCTGTGCTATGATGAGCTCTAAATCCTGACTGAAAATCCTCAAATAAACTATTGCTCTGTAGAAAGTCACACAGCTGTTTAGCAACTGCTTTCTCCAGAACCTTAGAGAGAAATGGAAGGTTAGATATAGGTCTATAGTTGGCTAAAACATCCGGATCAAGTTTGGGCTTTTCAGAAGAGGTTTAATTACAGCTACTTTAAAGTACTGTGGTACATAGCCTGTTGATAAAGATAGATTGATCATATCTAGTATAGAGGTGCTGACTAAGGGTAAAACATCTTTAAGCAACCTAGTCGGGATGGGGTCAAAGAGGCAGGTTGATGGTTTAGATGAAGAAATTATTGAAGTTAGTTGGTAAAGATTGAGGGAAGCAAAACAGTCTAAACATATATCTGGTTCTACAGCTGTTTCTAAGGTTCCTGAGTTAAGAGATAAGTTGGTGCCAGTTGAGGGCAGGTCTTGGTGAATTTTGTCTCTAATAGCTAGAATTTTATCATTAAAGAAGCTCATTAAGTCGTAACTACTGAGAGCTATGGGAATACTTGGCTCAATAGAGCTGTGACTCTCTGTCAGCCTGGCTACAGTGCTGAGAAGAAACCTAGGATTGTTCCTATTTTCCTCTATTAATGACGAGTAGTACGCTGCTCTGGCATTACGGAGGGCCTTCCTATAAGTTTTAAGACTATCTTGCCAAATTAAACGAGAATTTTCCAGTTTGGTGGAACGCCAATTCCTCTCAAGTTTCCGCGATATTTGCTTTAATTTGCGAGTTTCAGTATTATACCATGGAGCTAACCGTCTTTGTTTTAGTATTTTCTTTTTTAGAGGGGCTACAGAGTCGAGTGTCATTCGCAGCGAGCCTGCAGCACTATCAACAAGATGATCGATTTGGGAGGGACTGAAACTAGCATAGGAATCCTCCGTTACTTTGTGACTTGATAATGAATTTAGAGCTGATGGAATCGCATCCTTAAATTTAGCTACAGCACTATCAGACAGACATCTTGTAAAGAAATTTTTGCCCAATGGTGTGTAGTTCAGCAATATAAACTCAAAAGTTATCAAACAGTGGTCGGATAAAGAGGGATTCTGTGGGAACACCACTAAATGTTCAATTTCAATACCATACACCAAAACAAGGTCGAGGGTGTGGTTAAAACAGTGAGTCGGTTCATGAACACTCTCAACGTCCACATGAATATTAAAATCCCCTACAATAATAACTTTGTCCGTTTTAAGGACTAAAGTTGACAAAAACTCTGCAAATTCAGATAAGAATTCAGAGTATGGGCCAGGTGCTCTGTACACTATAACGAAGAGAATTGGTTGCAGTGATTTCCAATTTGGGTGCGAAAGACCAAGAACAAGGCTTTCAAATGAGTTATAGTTTAGTTTAGGTTTAGAGCTGATTAGTAGGCTAGAGTCGAAGATAGCTGCAACTCCACCTCCTTGGCCTGTGCCTCGAGGAATGTGAGTATTAATATGACTGGGAGGGGTGGATTCATTTAGGCTAACATATTCTCCATCACCCAGCCAGGTTTCAGTAAGACAAAATAAATCAATATCATAATCTGATATTAGGTTGAGGTTTTTATGCACAGCTCCTCTTCTGTTTACCTTATAATAATAAAATAATTCAATTCAATAATTCAATGGTCGGGGGACAGACACCGTCACTATAGGATTTTCACTAAGTAACTCCAGAAATGGAGGAGCAGAGAAGTGTGTTAGACTGCGACTCTGCCTCCTGGTCTCAACTCTGGCTTGTCATGGATTTGGTCCACTAATAAACTTGGCCAGATTTCTAGAAATGAGAGCTGCTCCTTCCCAAGTGGGATGGATGCCGTCTCTCCGAATCAGACCAGGTCTTCCCCAGAAAGTCTGCCAATGATCAACAAAGCCCACATCGTTTGCTGGACACCACCTCGACAACCAGCGGCGGAATGACGACATGCGGCTATTCATGTCATCACTGGTCAGATTTGGCAGGGGTTCAGAGAAAACTACGGTGTCCGACATTGTTTTTGCATATGTACACACCGACTCAACATTAATCTTAGTGACCTCCGATTGGCGTAACTGGGAGTCATTACCGCCGATGTGAATAACAATCTTACTGTATTTACGTTTATCCTTAGCCAGCAGTTTCAAATAAGACTCAATGTCGCCCGCTCTGGCCCCAGGGATGCACTTAACTATGGGCACTGGCTTCGCTAACTTCACGTTTCTCAAAATGGAGCTGCCAATGATCAGAGTTGGTTTCTCAGCGGGTGTGTCGCTGAGTGGGGAAAATCTGTTAGAAACGTGAACAGGTTGATGGTGCCCCGTGGACTTTGAATGCTTACGACTATTCCTCCTTCGGACAGTCACCCAGCCCCCCCTTCCTGGCTGCTCAGGAAATCCCGGGGGATGGCTACCAGAGGCTAACTCAGGCCGTTCCGCACCGACTACCGGGGACTGGCTAGCTACAGTAGCTAAAGACTGATCTACCAAGGTGCAGAGCCGGAGAAGTAGATAAACAAAATCAACCCTCGCACATGTAGCGCGTCAGTGAGGCGACCGCGTTGCAGATTCTGGAGCTCTGACAGTGCGACTATGAATTTACCACAGGCTTCGGACTCTGAACAAACGTGTTAATCATCACTTCCTGTGTCCCCTTTATGGCGCTACATAGCACTTCGTACTACGACTATAAATGAACATGTAGATGTGTTCGTGAAGGACTGTTATCAAGTGCGTAAAGTTTGGTGCAGATGTGAGCATGTACACTGAAGTTGAAACAACTTCGTCTTTCATGGCGAATTATTGATTTTGGACACCACGCCACGGGCACGCAGTTTCACGAAAACTCACTGTTTGTACAACTTTTAAAGGCTTTAGAGTAGACAAGGAAAATCTGAAGTCGGTCGGACTAATTCTCTAGGAGGAGTTCATAAAAGTATAGTGTGTGTAAAAAATCCCAAAATAACCATCAAATTCAAAATGGCCAACTTCCTGTTGGGTTTAGGGCATCGCTCCAAGAGGCTTTTTTGTACAACTGGACATGATACATGTGCCACAAAAATTTCATACATGTAGGTAAAACATGCTGCGGGGGCTGCTTCGTTGAATATCACTTCCTGTTGCCAGCAGGTGGCACTATGACTATAGGTGAATGTTGTCTTGTACATGTCTTCAGGGCGGGACTCTTTTCAAACGTGTAAAATTTGGTACAGATCTGAGCATGTAAAGTGAAGTTACCAGAACTTCCTGTGTTATAGCAAAGAGTTTAACTTTGCCGCCACGCCACCACCACACTGTCAACTGCAAAGTCACGAGTTTCACAATATGGCTTCATCAATGCGTTATGAGTTTTCTGGGACAGGTTTGAAGTTGATATGTCCAACCTGCAAGGATGCCCCTGAGACAGTACAGCACAAAACAGCAGGGTGTAAGATGCAGGCAATCTGTCCATTTTCAATAATCATGTTCAATCATTTTATCCCCATATAAAACAGAGTAATAGAGAGTGATTATATATTGAACACTGACCTCAGTGTGTGTCTCTGTGTGTTTTATGGCGCTCTCCTGTGTTGGTGCAGGTGCAGGCTTCGTGGTTCCATCAGACTGCAGAGGGCCTGGCCTCTTCTGCAGGGCCGGGCTGCCCTCTCTGCTGCGAGGACTCACCTTAACAACACAACACCAGTTCTCACATTCTACATTACACACCCTTTCCCGACAAAAACACCCGCTCACATTTTGTCATGTTCTAATCTTTCAGCAAGTGCTCATCATCAGTGCAGTACCTTGGCCACAGTGGGTGAGTCTCGTCCGTGGGTGGGGGTGAGTGGGGGGCTTGGGTGGTGGTGGGAAGGGTGGTTTACTGTGGCTGCTGCACTCTTCATTGGGCGGGTCATGATGGGGGAGGCTGAGCCCCCCAGGCAAACGTCAGCCTGACTCCCAGAGAGAGGGGCCAGGGGCAAAGGGGGTCTGACCGAGGATCGAGGCTGTGGTTTGGGGGAGCTCTGGGGGCTCTTGGCCTTCAGGGGTCCCTGCTCTGCTTCCAGGACCTTTAAAGGCTCCACCTGGGCTGATCTTGCTTGGGGGGTTGACTCTGACACGCACCTGTTGATGACAAAGTCGGCCATACATACATCAGGATTATCGTCAGGCTAAACATAACTGTTTTACTTCTTGGTGAAGTTGATGAGTACCTGTGGAGCGAACTGAGGGTCTCAGTCAGGGCTCTAACCCTCTTTAACATGGAGTCCATCTTATGAGGCTCCTCCTTTAGGAAACGCACCGCTTCCACTTCCAGCCTCAGCACTGAGCGCATCTTGACCTGCAGCTCTGGAAACTCACCTGGTAGTGGTATGAAAAAATGAAAAATGACCTTTACTCTGTGTAAACTTTGTAATTCTACGTATCACCATATGTAAATATTTTACAGTGAATCCTAGGGGGCTTGCAACCCTGGACAGGCTAAGGATCCAAATAATGTCCAGATCAATGTATGCTCTCCCTGATTGTGATTGTTGCAGACTTTGATCCAATATTGATATTGTCCTACATACAGTTATACAGTCTAGAGAACAGACAGACACTCATCTGAATTGATCAAATAACATAATCTCAAATTGTGGAAACAAGGACTTTTTATGTCCCCCCCTCCCCCACTTTTTTTTAAATTGCAATGGTGTGGTCACTGAGTCTGTACTTGGTAAGATGCTTTCTCTGCTTGATATCTCTTGACAGAAGAGATCCAGCCATTTCATAATCTCTGTTTGGGGCCAAATAACAATCTAGTTTTTGTTGTTTTTTGTATCTTCCTCCCAATGGTCCACATAAGCATTTTTTCTTTGAATGACCATTTGGTTTACTCTGACTCTGACACTTTGGTGTTTGTAAAGCAGTGCTATCTTGAGAGAAATGTGTGTGACACGGTGCAGGGTTTGTTAGTCTCAGGATTAGCTAGCATAAGGGATTCTTTTCAGGGTTCTGGCCCCCATCTTCACTCAAATCTTCAACAAATCACTGGAGCTGTGTGAAGTTTCCTCCTGCTTCAAACGCTCCACAGTCATCCCGGTTCCCAAAAAACCCTCCATCTCTGGACTAAATGACTACAGGCCTGTCGCCCTGACATCTGTAGTCATGAAGTCCTTTGAAAGACTGGTGTTGGTCCACCTGAAGGACATTACAGGCCCCTTGCTGGACCCCTGCAGTTTGCCTACAGGGCTAACAGGTCAGTGGATGATGCTATCAACTTGGGTCTGCATTACATCCTGCAACACCTCGACTCTCCAGGGACATATGCAAGGATCCTGTTCGTGGACTTCAGCTCGGCGTTCAACACCACCATCCCGGACATCCTCAGCACCAAACTCACCCAGCTCACTGTGCCAGCCTCCACCTGTCAGTGGATCACAAACTTCCTGACTGACAGGAGTCAGCGGATGAGGCTGGGGAACATCACGTCCAACACCCGGACTATTAGCACTGGTACCCCCCAGGGGAGTGTGCTCTCCCCACTGCTCTCCTCCCTCTACACCAACGACCTCAGGAGACCCATCTGTCAAACTCCTGAAGTTTGCTGACGACACTATGGTCATTGGCCTCATCCGGGACGGTGATGAATCGGCCTACAGATGGGAGGTTGATCAGCTGGCTCTTGGTGCGGTCAGAACAACCTGGAGCTTAACACACTCAAAACTGTGGAGATGACCATGGACTTCAGGAGGAGCCCCCCCACTCTGCCCCCCATCACCCCATACTCAATAGCCCTGTGTCTGCTGTGGAATCCTTCAGGTTTCTGGGATCCACTATTTCCCAGGACCTGAAGTGGGAGCCCAACACCACCACCTTCATCAAGAAGGCCCAGCAGAGGATATACTTCCTGCGCCAGCTCAGGAAGCTCAACCTGCCTAAGGAGCTGCTGATCCAGTTTTACACAGCCATCATCCAGTCTGTCCTCTTCACCTCCATCACTGTCTGGTTTGGATCTGCCACCAAAAAGGACAGGAACAGACTACAACGGACAGTCAGGACTGCAGAAAAGATCATCGGTGCCAACCTGCCCTCCATTCAGGACTTGTACATTTCCAGAGTCAAGAAACGGGCAGGAAACATCACTGCAGATCCATCTCACCCCTGGACACAACCTGTTCCAGCTCCTCCCCTCTGGTAGGCGCTACAGAGCACTGTACGCCAAAACCAACAGACACAGAAGCAGTTTCTTCCCACAAGCCATCACTCTGATGAACAGCTGATTTCTGACTCACAGTGTAAGGAACAATTCCTGTGCAATAACCCAGTAACTCTGTCTCTAATCAGCCACCTGTTTACTGGCTAACACTTATTATTTATTCACCATTTTCTTTTTCAGAGCTGTTCATACTGTTTTATTGTCATATTGTAGATACTGTATATCAAATCCACCTACCTCACGTCATTTCTGCTGCACAAAATACTTTTGCATTATGCTTCATTGTACTGTGTACATGTGTACATGTATGCATATATATGTACCTGTATATCACATCCACCTCCGACATACTCCTGCATCCTTTGCACTCTGCTCACTATTTGTCAATATGTCTATATTGTTTTTGTTCATAGTGTGTATATTTGTGTTGTCTACACTGAAGTCTGTGTCTGATTTTAATTTATTTTTATTATTGTGATTTTGTATTTTTGTGAGTAAGCACATTGAGAGCAATGTACAATCAAGAGTTAAATTCCTCGTATGTGTACAAATACCTGGCAATAGTGGTGGGGATCTCTGGTACTGCCTCTCTTTGTTCTGTCCAGTTAAATATGGTGTGCCTCAGGGGTCGGTCTTAGGACCCATTTTGTTTTCCTTGTATCTGCTTCCCCTTGGACATATTATCCATAAACATGGCATTTCTTTTCATATTTATGCTGATGACACACAAATATACTTGCCCGTCAGATCCACAGACCCTGGAATGCTGAGTTCACTTAACAACTGCCTTTGTGGATGTCAAATAATTTCCTCCAGCTGAACTCAGACAAAACAGAAATCCTGGTCATTGGGTCCCAGCAGATGGCAAAACAAATACTGCCATCTGCTGGTTCCCTAGTAAATCACATTAAGCCTGTGGCAAAGAACCTTGGTGTTTGGTTTGATAGTAATTTAAATTTCGAGCAGCACACCACAAAACTTGTTCAATCATGTTTTTATCAACTTAGAAATATAGCAAAAAATTCCATCTATGTTAACTTTTAAGGACACTGAGACCATTTTACACGCCTTCATCTCATCAGGCCTGGATTATTGCAACAGCCTTTTCACCTGTTTAACCCAAAAATCTACTGATCGACTCCAGACTGTCCAGAACTCAGCTGCCAAGCTTTTAACCAGAACAAAGAAATATGACCACATTACTCCTATTTTAGCTTCATTACACTGGCTCTCAGTGTGTTTTAGAATTGACTTTAAAATTCTATTGATCACTTTTAAAGCTCTTCATGGCCTCTCGCCTTGTTATATTTCTGAACTTTTAGTCCCATACACACCAGCACGTACCTCGAGATCCTCGGGCAGAGCTCTGTTGTCTGTTCCAGAGTCTCGACTGAAAACTAAAGGGGACAGAGCGTTTGCTGTCAGGGCCCCGAGGCTCTGGAACAGCCTGCCCGAGGAAATCAGGTCAGCTGAGTCAATGAACTCTTTGAAGTCCCTTCTTAAAACATACTTTTATAGGAGAGCCTTTCCCGATCTTATTTGACTTTATTTTATCACTCTTATTTTACTCTATCTTAAACATGTATTTTAGTCTTTTCAATGTTTTGTTGCTTTTATCTTGTATTGTTTTTGTATTATTGTCTTTTGGGTATTATTGTCTTTACACTTGTTAAAGCACTTTGCTCTACAAATAAAGATAATTATTATTATTATTATTATAATAAAGCTGATTCTGAAGTACACTGCTACTGAGAACAAGGCTCACATTCCTTGATGTGTGTCAATATACAATACTTGACCAATGAAGTTGATCCTACTCTGATTGTGATAAATAGTCTGAATCCTATATAATTCAACTGAAAACAACCAGTGACATCAAGCCAGTTGTTTAATCAGTCTAAAGTCCAGTCAGCCCCGAGGGCAGAGGAAACTCCTTGGACAGACATCTGATTTCCCCAGCTGTATTTTTTTTAGGATTCATTAATCATTAAAAACAATGATGGGAAATAATTAAATTTCATTTCAACGATACTGTTGGTGATGGGATGAGATGGAACTCAGGGATAAATTGATTAACGTGAGATAAGACAAGATGACAGAAATGAGTAAAGACAATAGAGAAACTTAAATTAATAATAGTAACAATAATAATAGTAAGAATAAGTATAATAAAATAAAAATAAGTATATATACAAGAGCAGTTAAACTAAAATTCTAATTACAGGCACTACAATACACATACAGCACCCACAACTGGTGTTGTACCTGAGCTAATGGTGCAATACAATCTTAAACTAGATTAATTAGTTCACTGACATTATGTAAGAGGCTGCTGCACCTGTTGCATAATTCAGTTAAATTTTACCTATTGCCAGAAGAAGGAAAAAACTGCTCACAGCTGGTTTGACTCAGTGGGTGTTTGCAGGTGCTATAGAATCAAGTTCAACTTTCTATGCATTTTTTAAAGGTATTAAGTAAATCAAAACATATTTGCTTTTTTGTTATTGCTATGTGTAGATGCAGTGGCGAAGGCCTCATGAAAGCTGTCAGCAGTGTTGTATTTGATGAAACACAAAGGAGCAGGAGGTGGAAGCTAAAAGAGAGTTAGCTTTGGGGGGTCTTTAGATTAAAACAAAGAATGGGGCCCATAGTGGACCCATGTGCTCACACTTGCATGTTACACAGCATCTGGCCAGTGAAACAGGATCATCATATAGCGGTTTCAAGTCGGCTGTCTCCACAAAATAAACAGAATACTGCATACTTTCTGCAACATTGCGAGATTGCACAATGTGATATTGCTGATGTACTCAGCAGCACAGTGCTGCCGACCGGACAGTCCAGGGACTAAATTAACAACAACAATGTGTTCTCACACATATCCCGGTTTTGAGTCTTTTCCCTGTGTGTATGGAATATAAGTACAACATAACAAGTTTACCGTCTTAGTTTAGTGAGTTGGCATACTAAAGCTCAGAAGGCTTTGTATGTTGTGTTAACTCACACAGCACATTTAAATCTTCCTTTCTGCACGACTTTAATGCCCACACTGTGCAGATCAACTGAGTGGCCACGGTATGGTGTGAATCTGATAAGGACTGGGCTTCAAAAAAGTTAATACTGATCTATTACAGAAAGTACATGAATCATTCTAAAGAAATGCTGAACAATTTACATGTTTCGATTGCTTTTATGGTATATTATGGTAAACAGCCCAGAACTGCAGTCAACGTGGACCAATGTATATACATAACTGCAGCCTCAATGCAGTCCTGTCTTGATACAACCCAAAATCCACTGACCTTTAAGGATGGCCAGAGCTTCCCCAACCCTTCGCAGGTTGATTGCTCCCTCCTCCACGTCTCTCAGAGTGATTGACAGCTGTCCGGGAGTAGAGGTGGAGCTTCTTTGCAAACGTTCCACATAGTATTCCAGTTCACTGAGAGGTGAAAAAGACATCAAGCAGTCACAGGCAGGAAAAGCAACTCTGTGATATGCTACTGTAGTCATAAGATGGCAGCAGAGAGTACATTTGAGCAGTCCTAACCCTAACCCCCTCAAAATAACACATCACACACCAACTAATGTCTAAACTGCTGGCAAGAAAAGTGAGGACACCCCTAAGTGAAAATATCACTGTCTGGTGACTGTGGGAGCCATTGGGGTACAGGGAACTCATTGTCATGTTCAAGAATCCAGTTTGAGATGTTTGAGCTTTGTGACATGGTGCATTATCAAGAAAATATCCCCCACACCATTACTCCACCACCACCAGCAGCCTGAACCACTGATACAAGGCAGGATGGATCCATGCTTTCATGTTGTTTTACACCAAATTCTGACCCTATCATCTGAATGTCTCAGCTGAAATTGAGACTCATCAGACCAGGCAACTTCTATTGTCCAGTGTTGGTGCGCCTGTGTGAATTATAGCCTCAGTTTCCTGTTCTCAGCTGACAGCAGTGGCACCCGGTGTGGTCTTCTGCTGCTGTAGCCCATCTGCTTCAAGGTTCAACGTGTTGTGCGTTCAGAGATGGTGTTCTCCCTACCTTGGTTGTAACGAGTGATTATTTGAGTTACTGTTGCCTTTCTGTCATCTTGAACCAGTCTGCCCATTCTCCTCTGACCTCTGATATCAACAAGGTATTTTCGTCCACACAACTGCCGCTCACTGGATATTTTCTCTCTCAGACCATTCTCTGTAAACCCTAGAGATGGTTGTGCGTGACAATACCAGTAGATCAGCAGTTTCTGAAATACTCAGACCAACCTTTTCCACTCATTCCCAGCCAGATTACCTTTGCTTACCTGTGTAACCTGCAATCTTTATTGGAACTTGGATCTTTATTGGTGTGATATGGGTTTTCATGTTTTGATAGTTTTGAGACATTAGATAAGGCTTCCAGAGAATGGGGCAGCTGGCTCAGGGGTTAGTCCACTGACCGGAATGCATGTCAAAGAGTCCTTGTGCAAGACACTGAACCTGCCACTGCTCCCAGTGGCTCGGTGTTTGAAAGTGTATGCATCCGTTCTGATGTGCAATTGGTACCTTAGCCACTGCCATCAGTGTGTGAATGTGATGTAGTGTAAAGTGCTTTGTGTGGTTGCAAAGACTAGAAATGTGATATACAAATACAGAGCATTTACCACAGAGAGATTTTATGGACTCACAGATGTGGCAGACATGAACCCTATTAACATTTGCGTACATAAGGATGATTAGACACGCAGCTTTCTCTGCGGGGTAATGTGAGTGATCAGACATGTAGTGAGCATAGCGCCCACTGAGCTTATTAAAGTCAACTTCACTTTCACGGTTCAGCGTGAAGGAAAAATTCCTCTCTCTGCTCACTACTACGGTCATTGAGATGGCTAATGTGGGCATTTTACAACATGTCACAATTTTAAAACCACAAGGAGTACAGAGCAAAAAGTGTTAAAGAGCTCATACGATACAAAGGTTGCTGGCACGCGGAGGACACCTCCTACAGAATTTCTCTTAAATTCTAAAAGTCTAGCTTTGTGGTCAGATTTCTACACTCTAGCAACAGGATGGAGGTTTGGAATAATGAGCTGGTTGAAATGAGCAGTTCTCTAAGAGCTAATGAAAGCCTTTTAAATAAATGTTTAGTCAGCGTGTACATATACAAAGACAATGTGACACTGTAGTTTTCTCTGGACCCCTGCCAAATCTGACCAGTGATGACATGTATAGTCGCATGTCGTCATTCCGCCGCTGGTTGTCGAGGTGGTGTCCAGCAAACGATGTGGGCTTTGTAGATCATTGGCAGACTTTCTGGGGAAGACCTGGTCTGATCCGGAGAGACGGCATCCATCCCACTTAGGAAGGAGCAGCTCTCATTTCTAGAAATCTGGCCAAGTTTATTAGTGGACCAAATCCATGACAACCCAGAGATGAGAGCAGGAGGCAGAGTCCCAGTCTAACACTTGAAGTCCACTCAGTTAGGCTGCGTCGTGTTATGGCTATGCCAAGCTTTTGTTCAGTCATAAAAGTCATACTGTAGCCCAGACAGTAAGTGCTACAGATGCCAAACTCACAGGGTATGTAGAGACCCCTGCACAAAAATTCACACACTTCCACCTCTAGGAGGCGCTACAAGCAAGATAAACGCGTTTGGCCTTGGAACTCCCACATACGAAGTCGCGCATCAAAAACCTTATATCTACGCATTCGGGGAACTCACCTGAATCTCGTGGTATAGGCCATGTCCATTTCCAGCTATAATATTTATCTGCAAAATTGCGACACTGAAAAACCTTTGAAATAATAACTCCTCTAAAGCAGCTAGTCCGATCGGCACCAAACTTGGTACGAACCATCTCTGGGCGATGCTGACAAAAGTTAGTGGTCCTCATTTGGATATATAGAAAAAGTTAAACATGTACGTTCCTGTACATAGCATTCTGAACAGGAAATTGTTGCCTATCTTCACGTGGTTAGTCACATTCAAACCAAACTTGGGACATTACTTCCCATTGGAGACCCAAGGACCTGTATGAAATTTGGTGTCAGGCCACTAGGTGGCGCTGTTATATCTTGTTGAATTTATTCCAAAAAAGACCCCCTCAGACATACATTCATTTTATATCTCCATAACCTCAAGTCCCTTTAACATACAACTCAGGTCATTTATTCATCATGAGCCCCTGTAGGCCATTTGCAAAATTTGATGCAATTTGAACAATAGGTGGCACTGTTATTGCAAACTGAATGGTGCATGAAAATCAGGTTACAAGCTGCTTTAAGATGAAGCAGCAACAGAAGGCAGGCTAAATCAGCTTAAATAAGGAGCCTTGTATGGATTTTGCCAATGAGTATTCAGCCGAGCTGTCAGCTGATACAGCCGGCTTTGATATGGGCTGTATGAGCCCTAAGCTGGTTTTGACAGATTTAGTCCTTGTTTTGGTTTGAAGAAGGTCTTTGTTTTTTAAAGATATCTTTGGGCATTTCTGACATTATTTTGAGACATAGGACAGTGGGTAGCGATAGGAAACAGGGAGAGAGATAGGGGGCGACATGCAGCAGAGGGCCACATACAGGACTTAAACCCGGGCCGCTCCAGAAAGGACTCAGCCTTGTAAAAGGGGTGGGCACTCCACAAAGTGAGATAATGACACTCCAGAAGTAATCTTTGTGAGACCTGCAGTGGCCTGAACAGGCACTGACCATGTGATGTTTGAGATGTATGTGCAGGTTACTACTGAGAGCTCAAGTCTGATCCCCTTGTTTGTTATTGTCTGTTCTTCTAGAATCAGTCAGATGGCGAATTTGCTACAGATGGTTTCTTCCATCTGCCTTCCATCTCTGTTAGAAAAACAACTGACCAATTACAGCTTTGTAGGCAGGATTAATGATGGAAACATTTTCTTCCTTGGCCTGAGTCTGAAAAATACAGCTGATAGGTCAGATACTGGACTGACACGTCACTAACCGCTGATTGGTTTGAGAAAAGGAAAACAAAATCATCCTTCCAAACAGAAACCGACTAACGTAAACATGTTTCACTGATTAATAAAGTATTGCGAATTGTGATTTGAGATAAAACAACAAATATGTTATCAGCAGGTAACAACTAAAACTCCAGTGGTGTGTTGACAACTTGTCTATAGCAAAGATGCATGACTGACAAAAAACACAACTGTCTTAGTTTGATATTGTTTGAAATGACGTGTGCTTCAAAAGTATTAGCCAGTACAGCAGTTCTTTAGCTTAACTCAGTATCATATTTTCAGCTTTTCAGAAAGATTGATAAAAGAGACCCTTCATGGCAAAAACATCTGAGCGTTAGTGGAACAGAAGTTAACTGTTCAGCTCTCTACAAATCCAGTGACAGTCTGTCAGTTCTGAACATGTACGTGTATAAGCTAGGTTGCTAAGCAATACAAAGTACTGACACTTGAGCTGAAACATATTTATTAACAGACTCTATTCCTATCTTTGCCTAAAGCTTTAGTCACGCTAATGCTTACTTGATGAATTGGCATTTTATTAATTATGTACATTATTTGGATTGCTGTGTGGCGGGATAATTGTATCACACTCATTCAGAAACTCATGATGCTTGATAAATGCCAGGCTTCTGCTTGCACAGTCTGGCTGTGCTATGAAGTCAGTGTGTAGCATGCTACCATAAGAATGCGTTCTGATGTCTCTGGAAACCCACGTCACACCAGATCAAATCACTTCCCCTCCCCCAACTCTATTTTTAACAATATGTTTCTTCACATTTTCTCTCTTCCCAAAGAAGTTTGCGTGCTGTGTCTTGCACGCCACAGATGATTTGACTTCATCTGCCGTGACATCATTAGAGGCGTGATGTCAGAGTGTGTGTAAATGTTGAGGCTAATTCACCGCTTGGGCCACTAATAGAAAGTCCGATCTGTGCTTCAACTTTAAACAAAAGAAACTGATGTTATGCTGTAATGCTGTATCTTTTCTAACAAAATCCTATGAATATTTTATTCAGTGGAGTAAGGCAGTGTGTCTTTGCTCAGCTTGTCTGCGGGAAATTGAACTCTCACGTGTCAATGTCTGACTGAAGGCTTCAGTGTGTCAATCCCAGTGAATGTCAGATACTGTAATATTGTCAGATACACATGTAATTATGTCCCAGAGGCAAAGAATTATCAAAATGTAGTTGAATCAAGCCTTTAAAAAATACATAACATGTTTAATGAGTAAAATAAGTACAACTAAATTGAAACTGGGTAGTTACAAGGGCGATCAGAGCAGCCACAAATGTTTTTAGGGACAGAGTTTCACAAGGACTTGGTCCTCGACATTGGAGATGGGAGGTGGGTCATAAGGAGCACGATGGTGGAGAAGGTGGGAGATGTAGTAGGGGACCCGGTTGGGAGTGAGGAGGAGTTTGAACTGAATCTGTTGCAGGGAGTGGAGCTGAGAGTCACAGAGGCGATCTTATGTAACTTTTGTTGAATAGTGGCCCCTGCGTCCACAAGTATTGATTACTTGTTAGTGGTCAATTCTATAATGTAGTGTAACAGTAGCACAAGTAGGCAAGTGTCATAAAGTGTGCTAACATTAACCGCCACAGGCTTGCTGGTCACACCAGCTGCTTCAGCTGCAAAACCTCTCAGTGTCTTGAACTGAGCAAGGCTGTGTTTTATTGCTAATGAAAACAACTTTTTATTTCTAAAAGAATGACTGTGCTACTTCTTCTTTCAAAATTACACAGTCCTTTCTCAAGTAAATTCCAACTCTTACCTGAGCTGTGTGAGTATCTTCTCCTCTGTAGCCAGGTAGTGGATCCTCTCCTCCTCCATCGCAGCTCTCCGTCTGTACGCTGCCTCCTCAGACTGAGCCAGCTGACTGCACATCAACACCACCAGCTCCTGACCTGCCATCCGCAGCATCGAGCTCACACTCTCCTGGTTTGACAGCTGGAACAAATGAAACAACTCAGGAATTAGGATTCAGCAACTGTGCTTTTTGCTTAGCTACTGGTGAGGCCTGAGGGAAGGCAGTGTTGGTTGGTCGGTCTGCCCTCCAACACTTGGGTCCAAAGTAGATCAACTATTGGCTTCATTGCCATAAAATTTTATGTGGATTTTATTGTATGCTGAGGACAATTGTGATCCAACACTGTGTATAGCTGATATCTCAGACATGTGCTCAGCATTCATGGAGATCTTTCCTAAAGTTTTTGGTAACTCCCTGACAGCAATCCCATCTGTTAGGAGTGTGGTTTTGTGTTCATGTCTTTCCTGTTTAAGTCTGTTTTTGGTTCTGTGTTTCTCTGTGTAGTCTTGTTCAGTTCTTAGTTTTGTGCTTTAGTTCATGTTAGTGTTATTCCTGGTCTGTGTATTTCTGTGTTTCATTATTTGATCTTATCTTAAGGGTTGTAGCTTAGTTTATTCTATGTTTATCTGCATGTTTTGCACCTGTCCGAGTCCTTAGTCCTGTGTTTCCATGTTTTAGTGTAGTCCTGTCTCCTGTTTGGTCCGGTCTATTGTACAGTATTTCCATATTTTGTGTTTTACTTTGGTAGATCTGTCCTGGTGTGTTCCCGTGCACTTTACTTCCCGTTTTATTTTGTAATCTTCCGTGCCTGGTCGTGTTGTCTAGCTTTGCTTCCTGTTCTGTTCTCCTTAATGTGATCCACCTGTTTTATGTTCCTGCCCCACTCGTTTGCCTCACCACTTAATGCCTGTGTTCTGTTCCGTCTGTGTTGGATCATTGTGGTTTGTCATGTAGTTTGTGTTTGCTTTGCTCCTGTTCCCAAGCTTCTTGTGGATCTTTGGTTCTAAATGGATTTCTTGTTTTTTGTTGGACTTGTATCTGCCACCGTTTTTGTGAGTACGCCTTTAGTTGAATAAATATTGAACTGAATCTGCTCAGCTCTGGTGTCCTGCGTTTGGGTCCTTAACTAGCTCACACACTGCAAACCTTAACACCATCAAGCCAAACATTTACACAGAAGCGATACAAATATATAATGGACAGATTGCCATGAAATGGACTGAATACTTTTATATGCCTAACTCTCAACAAACTTTGCTTTGTGCCTCGCTGAACCCAAAATGTTTTTGTTGCATGCACCTGACTGTTAGCTTGTGGGAAGCTAACAGAGGTGTGTGTGTGTGTGTGTGTGTGTTTTAGCTGGCAAAAACTTTGTTTACATTATCCTGTTCACACCTATTCACTAAGCCATGCCCACTTTTGAATGATCCAATCACATCTTAATTTGGTTTAAATCCTTGTCATAACTAAACCCTGCTCACATACTGTGTGCCTCAGGTGCTCTTACTGCCCTGTCACTGTGTACCACGTATTGTCTGTGCTCCCAATGAATGTGTATTATGATGTATTTGTTACTGTCAGTCAGTTTCAGGCTAACACAAATGTGTCATCACATCACTGGAATACCCAACCTTGTCTATAATGTGTACTCTTCTTCCCATATTAACTTCAGTGTAATTAGCGAGTACTCCCGTCAGTACCTGTAAGAGTCTGAGCTGGTTGAGTTGGAGTCGCAGCTCGCACACCTTTCTCTTTGCCAACACCAAGCTTGGCCGCAGGCCGCTGCCAGAGGGTGGGGCCTGTAGAGCCAGAGGGGCGGGGCTGATGGCATCAATCAAAGCAGTGGGGTTCTGAGGCTCAGCAGACACTCCTGTAGGTTGACGAAAGGCGATTTTAAGGTTATCATCTTGTTCAGGGCATAATAAATGTGTTGTTGGTGGTAATCACAATCTTTATTAATGTAGAAGAAAAAAATTCTCACCAGGTCTGTTGAGGAAGAGTTTGAGTCCAGCAGTTTCACTAAAAAGACACACAGATAGTTACATCATAAACCTAACCATCCCTCTAGCCGTGGATTATACAGTATATAGAACTCATTTCATGCTCCCTGGATGGGAGAAATACGGTTGGCACACGTATGTGTGAGGGACGCCTGTGTCTGTGAAGCGCATGGGTGAAAAGCGAAGGGCAAGGCAGTGTGACGTGTACCGTCACTACGGTTAAGAATGTGCTTCGACTGCCATACCAATGAGCCTGGCTCTTTGGTGTCGAGTCAAGTTGCATGTTTGGTACCCTGTAGACCTGGGTTCCAATCTGGCTGCTTTTGCTCTTCGCTACAACTTTCCATACTATTGATGGGTACACATATTGTGGATGAAACATATTGGAATTAAATTGCTGCTGCTGCTGTATAAACTCCTGTTGACTTAAAGGGATAAAGGCAGATGTTACAGACCTGACAGCCTCCTTGACTCCTGGAAGATCTGGTCCCATAGAGAGAGCATGGTGCACCAGACCTGCTAGACTGGCTATCTGCTCCTCCATGGCTTTCATTCTCTCACTTCCATAGAACAGAAACACATGCATCAATCACATAACAATTATACTAACCATCATGAAGTGTTGTCACACATGTCTGCAGAAATTGGTAGTTCGATAATGTCTAACTCATATGATGTGCTGTTTACAATTGTTTATGGATCTTTACTCAAATAATAATTCTACTAATAGAGAATCTCTGTCTGTATCAATGTAAGCATTAACCCACGCTTCCAGTTGATTCCAATCAGCAAATGCTTTTATTTTCTTGCCTGCGTTTGATGTTTAATATAACATGTAATTACAAAGATGAAGGTTAAAATCAAGGGCAACTGGACTTGGTTGAAGATACTGGAAGACGTTTCGTCCCTCATCCAAAGGACTTCTTCAGTTCTGACTGACTGGCAGGGAAACTCAGCTATTTAACCTCAGTGGGGTCGTTTGCCAGGATTGTTGATACCGCTGGTTCGTTAGAGTTCCTGGTTGCTGTAACGACAGTCATTACAGTCGTTAGGACTAACGGTGGCCAAGACTGAACGGCCATCGTTATTATCTTCACCTGAGGCCAATAGGTTACGTTTGTTGAGTTTCCTGGGAAGTGATGAAAGGACAGCATTGTAAGTGGGGGATAAGTGGTGGCGTAGACCCCTCCTTCTGTTTAATGACGGTTTTCTCGACCACTGGTGTAGATGGCTTCCTTGACATCTCTTTCAAACCATCCATCTTCTCTGTCTAAAATGTGCACCTGGTGGTCCTCAAATGAGTGTCCTCTGTCCTTCAGATGTAAGTAGACTGCAGAGTCTTGACCTGAGGAGTTGGTCAAACGCAACAACACTGTGATTCCATACGTGTCTGGAGTATCAGAGAAACTCAGGAGGATTTTCAACAAACACAACATCCCTGTGTTTTTTAAACCCAAGAACACACTAAGACAGATGCTGGTCCACCCCAAAGACCGCACACCCAAACACAAGAAAAGCAATCTAGTGTATGCGGTCCAATGCAGTGAGGAATGCACAGACCTGTATATTGGGGAGACTAAACAACCACTACACAAACGCATGGCTCAACACAGAAGGGCCAACTCCTCAGGTCAAGACTCTGCAGTCTACTTACATCTGAAGGACAGAGGACACTCGTTTGAGGACCACCAGGTGCACATTTTAGACAGAGAAGATGGATGGTTTGAAAGAGGTGTCAAGGAAGCATCTACAACAGGGTTGAGAAGCCGTCATTGAACAGGGGAGGGGGTCTACGCCACCACTTATCCCCCACTTACAATGCTGTCCTTTCATCACTTCACAGGAAACTCAACAAACGTAACATATTGGCCTCAGGTGAAGATACCAACGATGGTCGTTCAGTCTTGGCCACCGGTAGTCCTAACGACTGTAATGACTGTCGTTACAGCAACCAGGAACACTAACAAACCAGCAGTATCAACAATCCTGGCAAACAACCCCACTGAGGTTAAATAGCTGAGTTTCCCTGCCAGTCAGTCAGAACTGAAGAAGTCCTTTGGATGAGGGACGAAACGTCAGTATCTTCAACCAAGTCCAGTTGCCCTTGACTTTAACCATCGTTGGATGAATATCATGCTGTATAGAAGACTTGAAACTGAGACCATAAACTCATTAGGAAAGTGTTTAATGAGGTAATAAATCAAGTGGGAAATATGCCTTTCAATGCATTTCAAATGTTTTTTCTTATTTTTGCAGGGGTCGCCCTCTGCTGGCCGTTAGAGAGAATGCATGTTTAAGTTACTTCCACATTGGCTTCACTCGTGAGAGCCGTAGGTTGTCACTTAGTGGTGACAAACTTGTAAAAACATTTCTCCATAGCACTACTAGTGGTGGAAAAACTACAGACTTAGGCGCTACTGTAATGTTTGTGAGTCAACAGTGAATACAGACAAAGAAATTCTCACAAGTATCTAATTTTGGAGGACTTTTGTAGTTCAGGCAAGTTTGAGGTTGAGCTTTCCTGTGTTGAACGCTGTTAGACTACTTGAAGATATCCTTCAGGGAGACAAGTTGATCTACTCTTCATTTAGTATACACCCTGTAAAGTGCTTATAATGAAGTAAAATGATTACTCTGGCTCTCAGCTAACCTTTGGGCATTGCTGGCACTCACGTGACCCTCAAAGAGTCTCTCAGGTTGGCCCAGAGGGCTGTCCACAAAAACAGACGAGGTGGAGGACGACGAGCAACTTGTTCTGCTTCTGTTTACAACCTCCACTGTGGCCCCGTTACTGTCCCACCGCAGGGACCGGCGAATCGGTGACATCCTCTCTGGAGGCACTAGGCCCACCCCTCCAATTATCTGCCCATCAACCATCCTGACTTCACTGACTCTGTGAGGGGAAGAGGGCGGTGTTTTGGTTCCCAGCGGAGGAAGCTGGCTTTCTCCATACTTCCTGCTCATCTGCCTGTATGGTAGAAAAAGACAATGGATGGCTTCATGTACACCTGGGGCCTCATTTATAAAACTGTATGTAGAAAAGGTTGCATATGTACAAAATACAGGAAATGTATACAAACAAAAATAATACTACTAATAATAAAACACTGCCTACACCGATTTCCCTTTATAAATCCATTCAACTTGAAATGTGGCGTATGTGAGCCAGCTCCTTGTCCGACCCTTTAAACGCCCATAGTTGCCTAGAAATGGTCAGTGAAACGCCCCTCATTAATATTAATACGTGCTGACTGCAGTAAGAAAAGGAGGCAAACTCTGAAAGAAAAGCTACAAAAAGAAATTTAACTCTGTGTGACTGACGTTCTTTTTGGTGAAGCTGAAGCATGTTGTTTGGTGGTTAAATAACGCACTTTGATGCAATGCTTGTGCACCAGAGGAAAGGGGACACTGGAGCTCCACCCCCTCATAACCGATCTGCAGGAAGGTGCATCCCTCCTGAGAAGTGACAGAGGTGAAAGGGGACACATACATGCAGTACAGGATGACCCAGGTACTAATTTGGAATCCCCCATTTGAAAAGATCGTAAACCAAATGCATTCTGCTTGTGTTTAAACATTTATTTAGGCGACGATGAGTTAAAAGAAATATGACTTGTTTTATGTGCCAGACAGCGGCACACTGAAAGATCTACTGAATTAACAGCGTTATATTTTCCATAACGTTTTTACAAGCAGCGCATCACATCTACACGCTGCGCACAGTGTTTGGCTCGATAAGGCAATGAACATGTGATAATACATGAAAGTACGCACTTTATTTGCTCGACTGACGCAACAAAAACTGTATCAGTGCTGCTTCCTTTAGGCAATATTATCAGGAAACACTGCATAAACTTTCATTGTTATGCAGATGATACTCAGTTATATCTATCGATCAAGCCAGATGAAACTCATCAGTTAGCTAAACTTCAAATGTGCCTTCAGGATGTTAAAACCTGGATGACCTGTAATTTTCTAATGTTAAACTCAGATAAAACTGAAGTTATTGTTCTGGGGCCCAAGCACCTCCATGATGCATTATCTAAAGATATAGTTTCCCTTGATGGCATCGCCCTGGCCTCCAGCACCACTGTGAGGATTCTTGGGGTTATCTTTGATCAGGACATGTCGTTTAAGTCTCACATTAAGCAAATTTCAAGGACCGCCTTTTTTCACCTACGTAAGATTGCGAAAATCAGGAACATCCTGTCTAAAAATGATGCAGAAAAACTAGTCCATGCATTTGTTACTTCTAGGCTGGATTACTGCAATTCCTTATTATCAATCCATTAAGACTCTTCAGCTGATCCAGAATGCTGCAGCACGTGTTCTGACAGGAATCAGGAAAAGAGATCATATTTCTCCTGTTTTAGCTTCTCTGCATTGGCTTCCAGTAACATCCAGAATAGAATTTAAAATCATTCTTCTTACCTACAAAGCTCTTAATGGTCAGGCACCATCTTATCTTAAAGAGCTCATAGTACCTTACTACTCCACCAGAGCACTGCGCTCCCAGAATGCAGAGTCTCCAAAAGTAGAATGGGAGCCAGAGCGTTCAGCTATCAAGCTCCTCTCCTGTGGAACCAGGTTCCAGTTTGGGTTCAGGAGGCAGACACCGTCTCCACATTTAAGAGTAGGCTTAAGACTTTCCTCTTTGATAAAGCTTATAGTTAGGGCTGGCTCAGGAGAGTCCTAAACCATCCCTTAGTTATGCTGCTATAGGCCTAGACTGCCGGGGGACTCCCCATGATGCACTGAGCTCCTCTCTCCTCTACTTTCTCTCCCTCTGTATGCAACCTCATCCCATAAATGCATTTTACTAACTCGACTTCTTCCCTTTCCCGTAGTCTTGTGCTTTCTCGTACCTCTCCTATCTCCTCCTATCACTTCCTGCAGGTGTTTCTGGCTCTGGAGATGTGGAGTCTGGATCTGTGGTTGCGAGTCACCTGCGTGTTCCTGCTCGACACCCTCTGCTACAATTATTGTTACTAGTCCTATTATTATTATCATTAACATTACAATTATTAACTTGTACGTGAGTGCAGCCAGGTTAGATGGGGTTTACATATCACAAAGTTTTTGCAACAAGTTATTGAACAGTTACATTTATCCAATGGGTTTCACTGACCATCATTTACTCAGTTTAGATTTTTACATCTCACCAACTACTAAAAGCAGCTCTTATTGGCACTTTATTGGCATGCCGTGGAGTTTTATAGTGCCCTTTTCAGAGTGGAGGACTGCAATAAAGAGTGTGTGGACAAGCTGATGCAGGGGCTTCCTCAAGGGTTCTGAAGACAGCTGTCCTGGATGCCAACATCTCCCTGGAAGAGCTTACTGCTCCAGTGGGTCAGATGGCTTCTGGTGAAGCTCCTGGACTGGATGGATTACCTGTTGACTTTTACAAACACTTTTGGAGATGTTTAGGAGCCGACCTGCTGGAGGTTCTCCAGGAGTGTTCCGAGACAGGATTGTTGCCAGCTACTTGTCGGCACGCGGTGCTTTCATTGTTACCAAAAAAAGGAAATCTGGCACTACTTAAGAACTGGAAACTAGTGGCTTTGTTATGGACAGACTATAAACTTTTTTCAAAGGTGCTAGCCAATAGACTTAAAAACTATCTGGACTTAATTATCCACAGAGATCAGTCATACTGTGTGCCAGACAGATCTATTATGGATAATTTGTTTTTTATGAGAGAGTTATTGGACGTTTGTAAAATATATAATGTTGATGTAGGCATTGTATCATTGGATCAGGAGAAAGCGTTCGATAGGGTTGACCACGGTTTTCTTTTTTCAAAGGTGCTAGCCAATAGACTTAAAAACTATCTGGACTTAATTATCCACAGAGATCAGTCATACTGTGTGCCAGACAGATCTATTATGGATAATTTGTTTTTTATGAGAGAGTTATTGGACGTTTGTAAAATATATAATGTTGATGTAGGCATTGTATCATTGGATCAGGAGAAAGCGTTCGATAGGGTTGACCACGGTTTTCTTTTTCCACCTTAAGAGCTTTTGGGTTTGGGGATGGTTTTATGTCACTGCTTGGTTTGATGTATAAGGAAGCTTTTTGTTTGTTGAAGGTGGGTGGTGGGTTGAGCTGTCCAGTACAGCTTCAGAGAGGTATCAGGCAGGGATGTCCAATTTCTGGACAACTGTATTCATTAGCTGTTGAGCCGCTTCTCAGTAAGCTGAGATCCAGGTTGTCAGTTGGAGTTTGAGAGGAAGAATTGGGAGGGTGTTTTGGAGAAAGTGTGCACCAGACTGTCTAAATGGAAATGGATGCTACCTCAGCTTTCCTATAGGGGGAGGGTCTTGATCATCAATAACCTGGTTGCCTCAACCCTATGGCACAAGCTGACAGTCCTACCTCCACCAAGGGATCTGATTGGAAGAATCCAGAGAGCCGTTGTGGATTTTTTCTGGTCGGGCCACCACTGGCTGAGGGCAGCGAGATTGTACTTGCCGGTACAAGAGGGAGGACAGGGCTTGGTGGACATTACATCATGCATTACAGCCTTCAGGCTACAGATGGCTCAGACACTGCTATACAGCTTTGGGCTACCATGGACAGACACTGCCGTTTTGCTGCTGAGGAGGGCCGAATAGGATATGATAAACATCTGTTCCTAATTCAATCCCAGCTCATGGATCTAACTGGTCTGACACCCTTCTACAAATCTGTTTTACAGGCATGGCAGGTGTTCACCTTCCAGTGGAAAACAGCGATGATACCAGGGATGTGGCTGTTTGAGGAGCCATTGTTTGGGAACAGTTTTATTACCTCTCAGGTTCTTTCATTGAGCAATCTGAGATCTAGACTGAGAGAGGGGGATGTGTCAAACTGGGACATTTTATGAAAACCTCTATTCCTCATTTGAATGTACAACTCAGCATCAGATCCAGCAAACTGCTGCTTAGGCTGGTGTAGGAGGTTTGTGTTTCCCTGCCGGAAGTCATTAGAGCATTTGCTGAAGATCGTATGCTCTCTGGCCAATGGGATGATGAGTGTGAGTATGTTTTTCCTTCTCTGGTTGTCTCTCCTGTGGTGGAACAGTGGCAGGAGGAGCAGGACGCCCTGCTGTCTCTAAGAACACCAGAGTTGGGGGAATTTGAGGCATTGGGAAAGAAAGCAGCCTACCAGATCAGCACCAAGGTCTTGAACTTATGCGCCCTGACAGGAGTAAAGGTGTCGAGGTTTTTGGCGTGGGATTATCCCCAAGGGGCTGTTGGCGGTCCCTGTATAAACCTCCCGTTGAAAAACGGACATGTGACCTTCAGTGGAGGATCATACATGGGGCCATAGCTACTAACAGGTATCTGGTACACCTTAATCCTGGCACAGGGGACGGCTGTCCATTCTGTTCACAGACAGAAACCATACATCATCTTTTTATTCAGTGTTCCAGATTGGTTGGACTTTTCAGCCTACTACAAGAGTGGATTCAGGGGTTAGGGGAGCACTGCTCTTTTAGTCTTTTTAACTATGGTCCACGGTACTCTAGACAAAAAAGAAACCTGTACATACACTGACAAATTTTATTTTGGGTCTGGCCAAATTGGTCATTTGGAAAACAAGGAAAAACCATGTGAGGGGTGAGTGGTCAGAAGACCTGGTTCTGATGCTGACTGGGCTGCTGGCGGCTCGGCTCAGGGTGGAGTTTGAGTTTTACAAATTGACAAATAAGATGGAAATTTTTGTGAATGTTTGGGGGGTGCAGGGTGTACTGTGCTCAGTCATAGAGAACTGTTTGGCTTTAAATTTTTGATTTTGTTTGGTAGTACCTCTGTCGAATTAAGTCATCTTCTTTTCCTCTCCGGATACTGGTAACGTTCTGTACGTGGAATTACTAACTGAGAATAAAAGTTTGTGTTAAATTGACAATATATCTCTCTCTTTTTCTCCCTTTTCACTCCCAACCGGTGGAGGCAGATGGCCGCCCACCCTGAGCCATGGTTCTGCTCGAGGTTTCTGCCTCTTAAAAGGAAGTTTTTCCTTGCCTCTGTCTCCTCTTGGTGGGAACTGTTGGGCTTCTGTAAATAACATCACAGAGTACAGTCTAGACCTGCTCTTTTATGAAAAGCGCTGTGAGATAACTGTTGTTGTGATTTGGTGCTATATAAATAAAATTGAATATCAATTTAAATGTAATTTGTCCTTCTGTTCACCTTCTTAATGAGAATAAACTACACTGCATTCTTTGCAGAAACAGATATCTCCGTTTGTGTTTATGATCCTAAATCATGGTTTTTGTGTGCCTTTTTTTGCCACTTCACACAATCAATCAAACACGGGGTTGTTTATTCAGAAAGGCTTTCATCTGTTTGGCAAATGAACTAATATTATTAAATTATATTAAGTTTTATTGGCCTATAATACTCAGAGGTAATAGTTCGATTTATTTTACACAGTAGTATCCATTTCAAACGTTTCATCCTTCTGCAATGTGAGTCGCCGTTTCTCTTCTCCAGTTTACTTGCGTACACAGAGTTTGCATGGAGGACTGCACATTCTCCCGTCAGATTTGTTTTTTAAAGATCACAACCTCTGCATGGGATGTGGCGTACACACGTTTCCAGCCCTGTTTTGTACACATTGTTTATAAATGAGAACCCTGGCTGCATGAACACTGGCCACATGGCCACAGTGAGGTGGGTCCCAACTTGTAGAAATACTACTACCCACATGTCTACACGTATTTATTCCAATCAATCACTACTCCAGCTGATGGCACTGATCAGTTCTTCCCAGCATCATCACCAAGGGGGATCTTTACCTATCACACACATACCCATTGGGCACAATGATCTGTTACCACAATGTTTTAATTTCTTGCAGTATTTACTAAGACAGAAGTAAACGAGCTGTGGTCCATCTGGTTTACATGGTGAGTTGCTGAATAAGAACTTATGTAGGGCGTTGCACAGTTTGCTCATGTCAGTTATGGAGCAAAAAGAAAGGCAAAATGTTGTTAGCTCGGAAACAAACTCAGGGATTGAATAAAAATATCATCCAAAGTTATGACAAATCTGACAGCCCTCGTATAGTGAGTATTTAGTAGTGGTGCAGTATTCTTTACTACTGACACTGACAGATTTGTATTGTTCATATTCTTTCTACACTTCTTTTGCTATATAATGATATAAAATGCTTTTCCCAGACGTCAAATTCCAGCTTCCTCAGCTGCAGGGGTGAGTCAGCAGTGATAATCAGGTGCAGCAGCTGTCTGTGAACATTTTCATTTCCTCCTCATATATTTTGCAGCCTTAAACAGGAATACCTCAAAATACATACAGTTGTGCTGTCTTTCCTCCATTTTACCAGCAAAGTGTGGCCCTTTAATGAGTAAAGACACAAACACCCCACTGTTATGCTGCTTATATACTGTATTACTACTACAATAACTATATCATAGAGAAACAAGGCTCTTCTCATTTCTCTACTTTTGGCCTCCACTTCTCCTCTCTCCTTCCCCTCCCCCACCTTCTTGAGGAGAGAGGAGGCTTGCCGCAGGAGCTAGGAGCAACAATGCACTGGTGTATCCTTTGCGAAAGTCTTTCACAGTCTTCAAGTCTTTTCGCACTCACACTAGGCGATCCGCAGCGTGCCCGAGCACGTTTAACCCCCAAAGTCCCGGTTCATTTGACCAGTGTGACTGCTCCGTGCCCAGGCACAGGACAAGGCAACCAGGCCTAGTGTGAGTACGCCCTCAGACTCTGTGAATTATAAAAGAGGTGGGACACACACAGCTGGAATATACTGTACAAGTGTGGCAGGAGCAGGACTTTACAGTGTTCCTTCTGTTTTCAGAGTGTTGTTAGTTCTTTTTAAGGTTCAAGTGTGTAAGTTTTAGTGGCGTTTATTGGTGAGGGTTGTGAATTGCAACCAGCGGCTCATGGTGCATTCACATGCACCTCGGATGGTCCCATTTCCCGAGTTGTTCTTCAGACTTCAGTGTGTTCATCCGCTCTGAAGTCGGAATGTGGTATCAACATGGATGCTACTACAAAGATGTGTTGGATTAGCATTATCAGAGCCTATAAACAACAGGCAGACATTTACTCTACATGGACAGCAAACTAACAGTCCATGTAATTTGTCCATGTTACAAATTACATGTTTGCAAAATATATATATACACAATATGTGGTTTTCCATACATCAAAGTTCAGTATACTTCTTTATGTCCCATGTACGCTTTATTTCTCTTTTTGCAATAAAGATTTAAGGAGGAAAAGAAATTCTGATTATTCCAACACATGAATGCACCATCACTCACTGCTCCCCCCACCATCCCCCAAGTCTAGCCATGGCCACAGGGAGGCTGGTAAACCCGGTTCGGTTGCCTGCAGTAATTCCCAAAGGTGTGGACTGGCCTTTCTAAATTTACACACCTTACATTGAAAAAAAATTTAAAACACACTAAAGGGACAAATCTAATAGACTGGATTGGGTTTGAATCATTGTACCTGTGGAGGGAGCGGGTCTGGTGCTCCATACTCTCTCCATAGCCTGTCAGAGGTTTAATGGAGGCCCGGTACTGCTGCAGCCCCCCTGGGATCCCTGTGACCCCAGCGTCCACCATGTCTGCGGTGAGAGAGGGGGGAGCGCTGCATTGGGAGGAGACGATGCTGAGACGACCGCCTCCATCCTGCAGGGTAGAGCAGTAGGAGTCTGGGTAATGTGGTCCTCCTTCCCCACGCACCACCAGGGCCATGCTTTTACTGCTGCCAGCATCCTCATCTGAAACACACAAACACAGTCAAATGTGTTGAAGCAGACAAGTACAGATTCTCTGGGAGTTAGACCTTTAGAGCTCATTCACTCTGCATCCTCCTCCTGTATCAGCATTTACTTGGACATGAAGGTTTACGATGTTTTCATGTTCATTAAATGTGGGGATGTTGTGTATCTCTTGTCTGAATCGAGGGTCTCAGGATAGACTGAACAGATTGTAACTCCCTCTGAGGCAAACTTGTAATTTGAGAGATTTGACATGACTGGCATGGCTGCCAAAAATAGCCCACATCAATTCTTTCTTTTCATCATGGAAATACATGCATGTTGTATTTTATACTCTTGTAATAATTAATCCATCACTGATCATCTCACCAGGCTTCACATCTCTCCTCTCCAGTATGGCACTGCTGTTGGTGCAGAGAGCGCTGGATCGCACCGCACCTGACAGGCGTTCCCTTGGTAAGGTGGCACTTCCTGGATCCACCAGCCCTGCCCCCCTCCCTGTATTCCCCCCACCATACGCCATCCTGGAGGGAGAGGAGGGCATGGACCGGACCATGGGTGGGGACATGGAGCCCTGCAGGCTGTGCAGGGTGCCACGGCTGGAAGAAGACAGGGTGGGGACTGGACTGTGATTGCCATACAACACCTCTTTGGAGATCTACAAAAAACAAAAAAAGTGCTTTAAAACTGCACTGATGAAATACTCACGAAAGAGGTCATTTCACCTACCCAGGGAGTGCTCATAGGAAAACCGTACATACCTCTAGGACATGTACTGTATAAGCTTTAATTGTAAAATACTTTTTTAAAGCATTTGTAATACTGTACGGTATATCAACAGGGCCACACATGTTGACAGAAATGTCAAAGATATGTTTTGAAAAGGTTATCAAAGTTAAATTTGTTGATATAATTAATGGTTGGAAAAAGTTGCATACCCAGAAACAAAAGAGTAAATGAATCCATTCAGTGCCAGCCTCTCTAAGGCCCCCCTCCTGAAAAGCCAAGTCTGCTCTGATTGGTCAGCTCCAGACACAGAAGGCCATGTTTCAGGTCACGTGAGGTGAGAATGTGCGGGCCGTGCTGAAAACTCGTCTCGTCTGTCAGTACAAAGCACTGAAATAACTTTTTCACTCACACACAGTTACTGTGCTGTGTCTAAGAAGTAGAACATAGAGCCATCATAAAGGCATCATTATATTGTCGTAATGATGATGCTTCTAACACAGTACTTTTAATTTCATATCACACATTAATTATAGATCCACTTTATCGTAAACATTCAAACCAGCAGCGTTATTTGAGCTAGTGAGCCACCATTGACAATTTGGTCAAACTCAAATCAATATTTCATCAGCCTGTCTCACTATCACATTCCCCCCGAAGCGCTGAGGAGGGCTGGACTGTAGCTACTGACTCGTGGTCAGGTGTGGAGCACCACAACTGCTGAAATGCCATGATGATGTTAGGGTGTGGCAGGTAGCAGGATTCAAGGAAAGTCTGGGTTGCCTTTCCTCGATACTAAGCGTCAATATACTGACTCCTTTTTACTTACAGTTAAAGTAGGGAATTCTTTAAAAAAAAATCTGTAAAATAAATCAGGTTTCTTTGGCTCCTCCTACTGCTCCTGATGCTATTTGCAAGAATCCACCACTCATTGCTCAAAACAAGCAAAACCAATCAGAGCCAGGAGCAGTCTCTAACACAGTGTCAGTCACTGCTCGTGCACACTCTGCAGCCCTCCTTCCTTGCACACACTTTCACTCAGTCAAGCTCAATTTCTTCTGCAAACACAATGTCTGAGAAACAATCAGCAACAATGAAAGAGCTGCCCATCCCTCCTGCCAACAACAGCGTATAGAACTATAGTACTGAGCTTCGGGCTCATTATGTTCGATGCCATGGCGCTTAAATCGACAAGTGGCAAAGAGTAATGATGACAAACAGTGAGGATTAACTTTTGAGGGGGGGCAGTGGTGTACTAGCCTCTCTTTCCACTGTTAGACGTTGTCACAGCTGCTAAGCGTAGGGCATCTTTGAGAAGAAGAGCCAAAGCGAGAGGGACCAAGGTCTTGGCGAGGCTCTCGTCGGGGAGAGCGAGCCATAGGGCAACCAGCTCCTTCTTGTGGGTTTGGTGGGCAGAGCTTTAGTGATAAGAGCAGCAGAGAGAGATGTGAAAGGTTTTGCACTGTTCATTTGTCACCAACTGCAGCTTTAACCAAGCTAACTGATGAAATGATCATCATCGGTTGTAGAAATCCAAGGTTACGTCAAATAGCATTGAAGAATTGAAGTCAGTAGTTTTCAATAATATCTTCTAACACTGTTCATGTATCAAGTACAGTTTTAGTTTCCATATAGTTTTTGTGTATAAAATGGCTGCAGTGAACACACACTTTGCCTTTCTCACCTCGACTCCACCCCCTGAACATGTGGACTGTGTAAATTAGCAAAGTCTGTATATAAAGCCAGAGACCTCTTTCACACAGTTGCTACACTCCATCCTCATCATCAGTCCTGATCATAATGCAGGCCAAGCACTGACATAATGTTCACTTGTCAAACCTCCATCTTCACATGATATCCCAGGGTGGTGGAGACCACTGACGTGATGGCAAGGTGTGAAGAACGGAATCTGATTGCTTTAAAGATAAATACTGCATGACACTCATGCGTAATGTTGCATGATGGATGCAGTGAAACTGCAGGGCCCACTGTAAATGGGACTACATATCACAACGTAGGCTGTTAATGATATAAAGACCAACAGGTAGAACAATTTCTTTAAACTGTCAGACCATCTGATTCTCAACAAATCCAAGAAAACCATATATTATTTTCAGCATGTGTTGTCCAACAGTTAAAATAAAGATCATTCAGAGTTCAGAGAGCAGCCTTTAGGAGGCGATCTCAGAATGAGGGACTGACTGGACCTGCATTAAGGGATGAACTTGTTACAAACAACTTGGTTCACCTCTGATGACTGCTTTTGTAATTATTGTACAGTAATAAGTGACAGTTATATACATTATTTTTGTTTGATATAAAGAGATGGACTGGCGACCTGTCCAGGGTGTACCCCGCCTTTTGCCCGATGTCAGCTGGGATTGGCTCCAGCCCCCCGCGACCCTGTAAGCGGTTGACAATGGATGGACTAACAGCTGTTTGGGGGATTAATTATTTTTTTTACTTTACTGTACTGAATGGCTTATAGGTAATGTCTACCTTATCACTGCAAAGTTTTAACAAATCAAGTGCAAAATAGAAATAAATGTTTACATAGGCTACTGCATGATAAAAATGTTTTGTTATTTGGAAAATTTGGAAAGCTTTATGACATTTTGTTCCTGAATCTACCCTAAATCCAGCCTTATGTTGTTATGGGATCAGAATAATCCTGATTTTTTGGATCAAAGGATCCCAATTCTACTAAAACGTTTTGAACAACACAAACTGAAGGTTTGATACAGATCAAACCGAGGATTGGATTAGGTGATCTGATCCGATTTCAGAATCGTCTTTTTCTTTTGAACAACCCATTTTCAAGATTTGATCCAATTACTTTTCAACAACTGGGCCCTGAAGACAACGTGAATGGAAAGTGAGAGGTGTTACCCAATCAGCTGCGACGATTTTGTAAACACAGCAGTGTTAAAAATGCAGTAAAAATCAATGCGCTTGCGTACAATTTTTAAGGCACCACCGTTTCCGCTGAAATAAACGTTTTGCTATGTTTTGTAGTCACAAATACTTTTTGTTTCATTTCTTTTCAAAAGTGAAATGGTGTACATTCAAAGACAAATAATGCAAAATAATCAAATAACGAAAGAGTAGCAAACCAGCAAATTCCAGTGGTTGTTCTTGTACAATTACTTTCAACCAAAAGATACTACTACTACTTGGCAATAAAGCTCGTTCTGATTAGTGAGGTGATTTTTCTTTTGTTTGTGATCAAATATTTATTGAAATAAAACAAGACACTATTGTAGAGCACCATCATCAGCAGGCACACATAAGAGATCTATTCAGGCACTAAGGAAATGAATGTACACATACACGCATATATACATAACTATTAGAAACAAAATTCACCAAGACCTGCCCTCAACTGGCACCAACTTATCTCTCTAAGGTCCTGGAGAAAGCAGTTGCTAAACAGCTGTGTGACTTTCTACAGAGCAATAGTTTATTTGAGGATTTTCAGTCAGGAATTAGAGCTCATCATAGCACAGAGACAGCACTGGTGAAAATTACTAACGACCTCCTTATTGCATCAGACAAAGGACTTGTCTCTGTACTGGTTTTACTAGATCTTAATGCTGCATTTGATACCATTGACCATCCTTCTTCTCACCTACAAAGCTCTTAATGGTCAGGCACCATCTTATCTTAAAGAGCTCATAGTACCTTACTACCCCACCAGAGCACTGCGCTCCCAGAATGCAGGGTTACTTGTGGTTCCTTGAGTCTCCAAAAGTAGACTAGGAGCCAGAGCGTTCAGCTATCAAGCTCCTCTCCTGTGGAACCAGGTTCCAGTTTGGGTTCAGGAGGCAGACACCATCTCCACATTTAAGAGTAGGCTTAAGACTTTCCTCTTTGATAAAGCTTATAGTTAGGGCTGGCTCAGGTGAGTCCTGAACCATCCCTTAGTTATGCTGCTATAGGCCTAGACTGCCGGGGGATTTCCCATGATGCACTGAGCTCCTCTCTCCTCTACTTTCTCTCCCTCTGTATGCAACCTCATCCCATTATTGCATGATACTAACACAACTTCTCCCCTTTCTGGTAGTCTTGTGCTTTCTCGTCCCTCTCCTCTCTCCTCCTATCACTTCCTGCAGGTTTTCTGGCTCTGGAGCTGTGGAGTCTGGATCTGTGGTTGCAAGTCACCTGCTGCCTGCCTGTACCTCTGTGTGTATATTGTGTAGGCTGCCTCCCTCCCCTCTCTCTCTTGCCCTCTCTCTCTCTCTGCTTCACCCCAACCGGTTGAGGCAGATGGCCGCCCACTCTGAGCCATGGTTCTGAGGTTTCTGCCTCTTAAAAGGAAGTTTTTCCTTGCCTCTGTCTCCTAGTGCTGCTCTTGGTGGGAATTGTTGGGCTTCTGTAAATAACATCATAGAGTACAGTCTAGACCTGCTCTTTTATGAAAAGCGCTGTGAGATAACTGTTGTTGCTATATAAATAAAATTTAATTGAATAAAAAGAAATACAGTAAATAAATAATGAACAGCAAAGGCTTGTGTGATTTGATCTTAAATATCTAATGTCCACGCCAAGATCAGAAGACCTCCAAATAATTAAATAGTATAGCAAGTCCATATAATTACACTAATGTGCAGGATACCCTGAGCACAAAACTAAATTAGATTATTCCACAACAGAAAACAAACACCATGAAGGCAGAGATTCTAATCCATACTTACTAATTAAAAATACACACAGGCAAACTTTAATTCAATTACATGTTGTGGCCCACAGTACTAAAAGAAGATGTTATGTAAACAAAAAAAAGCAAGGCTGAGAGTTAGGTTTGCATATTTGCCTGGATTACATCTATTGCTTTAGACCAACTGCTCACAGCATCAACTTTAGCCCATTAAATCTAGCAGTTACTATTTGAAGCTGACACACATCCAAAAAAAAGGTATGCTAGGTTCTCTT